GTCCTGATTTGCCACTAATTTGATAGCAAGCCATAAGGGCCTACTGTAAACAAGCCGCTCACTTTACATAGCTATGTTTGGCTCTGAAATGAAGAAGAATGTATGGAATATACTTTGGGTACTGTAGCCTCCTAAAGAAATAATAAAAACCACATCACTGCTTAGCTCTCCAGGTAACATTTACATTTGGAGAAAATAAGTTGCATGCCTAATAGAGAGAGAAAATGCAGTTCTTATCCATCTTGGGTTTGTTTGCTTAAAATTATTCTTTAAAGTATTTGAAAGCTCAGGCTGCCTCTTTTGAAGTCAGCGGGAACTGACATTGACTTTAAAAGATCAGGATTAAGCCTAAATTGGTAAGGTCTAAAAGTCAAAAATGAAAATATCCAAAGTCTACAAGTCTCTCACTGATCCATCATCCAGAGAGAAAGGACAAAAGCCTTCTCCAAGGTCTGTAAGGTATGTCTTGATTCCAGGGCTCCTGGTTTTTGTACAGTTGTAGACTGCAAGATGGAAAGCAACTTCCAGTAAGGACTGTAATTGCTAGCATATGAAATAGTACATACTTGCACCATGGTCTTGTAAAGCTGCTGGGGGAAGGGAGATGAAAGCTGTTTGTAAAAATCAAGACACATCTTCCACAAGTTGTTCTTTGCTATCCACTACACAGCATTCCCTGCCTGCAACCCACCCCAGGCAGATTCCCTGGCTCATGGGCTCAGTCCTTCAGGTACAGCCTTACACACAGCAACTGACCCAGCAAAAGTCTGCTTGTAGACATTTAACTCAGGAACATGTCTGATCATCCTGCTCAAGTTTAGTACTTTTGGCACTAATCTGGCACTCTGAACAGCAGGTGAAAGCAAGGTCTTCAACTATCTCCTGTACCACTCAGCAGGGACCATCCATTCCAACACTGAACTTCCCATCACCTGAGCTCTATCCTTACAGTGGAATACCTAAGTGCCCTGGACAAAGGGCTGTTTTCCTATAAGGCAGAGAAGGAAACCATTACCTCTTTAATCTTCTGGCTTAGGAAGTCTCGGTAACTGACCAGAGCCCAGTAGTCAAGGATGTGGACTCTTCTCAGCTAAGAGTGTGGTTCATTCCAGAGTCATAGTTTAAGCTCAGATACGTGATGGGACATGGGCAAGGAAACATGAAAAACCCTTATTTCCTCTTCAGACACCCAAGTTCACTGAGTATCTGAAATGAAGGGATCCTGGTGCCAGGTCAAGCTCTCTGTGGATGACTTCAGAAGGATAAAGCAACTAGAGGTAGGAAACTGCATAATGATTCCATCGGTTTATGTGGCCCCAATATCATACAAGCCAGAGTTCAGGGAGACACACGGATCTAGCACTGTCCCAAATCATCTGAACCTGAGGCTGACAAAGCATCCATTGCAATCACTGAATCCTTGTGACCAAATAAAGGAACATCATCTACTGTTAGCAGCAACTGTTGCTCGGCCAAAGAATATCAGATAGGAATACAGAATCCAAGTAAGGGAATCCATGCAATTAACACTCAAAATTGTCTGTTGCATCTCCATTGCTCAGAAGTAACCCAATCTGTTAAGAACTTGATGGGTGAATGTAATTTCCCAGGCTGTGTAGCCCCTTCTCTTCTACCCAAAAATGACTGGCAAGAAAATGAGAGAAATCAAAGACTACCACTTTGCAAATTACTCAGTTTAACCAACCTTGAGATTTTCCAGCAAACCAACTCAAGCAGCACCTACTCCATATTCACAGGTGCTACGTCTTGCTGTGTGCTACTCAAAGGGAGTGAGCTGCTACTCAGAGGAAGGAACAATCCTGTCTTGATACTGATGTGGGTTAGCCACCACAGCCAGACACAAACCTGCACTTCTGTTGCCTTTGTTCAGGTGATCAGACAGATCCCACAATAGCAAGTCAGGTCACCTTTCTGCAGATACTTTCACTAAGGTATTTTTTGAGATACCCCAGTCTCCCCACAGTACAACAAGGACAACAACTGAAAATACATACATAGGGAATAGTACATGGTGCTTTCTGCACACATCCCCAGTGATGTAACTCTGACCCTGGTGCCAGATCTCTGCTGTGTTGTTTTGTTAATGTATTGTGGTGCCCACTGAAAACACCTTATATTTCCATGTTTTCAAAGTGGTTATAATCTATTCTGCCAGCCCAGCTGGCAGGGGACAACCTTGATTTGAAGGACCATCAAACGGAACTAGACTTTAAGCAGAAACTTTCTGCCACTGAAAACTGGAAGTAATGTTCTCAGTTAAAACATCCTGCAGATCCCGTCTTCTGCTTTCACTTTATGGGACATTTCTGCAGGATATTTCAAGCATCAGTTCCAAGGACTTAATACCTTTATGCCAAACACCCTAGCATCACTTTCAGCCTGAAAACAGAAATGCACAAGTATAGGGACTTTTGCACATAGTTGTTTTTTCTAATGGAGGGTAGTAACTGAGCAGAAATAGTTTCTAAAATAGTCTTTACTTTCTTAATATGGCTGGCTTACAATGTAAAGAAAAGTTAAATTAATCTGAATAATTCAGGGCAGTTATATATGCAAGACAATCAGAGATACTTAATAAATAAAGGACGCCATAAGGGCCCCTGGCATGTTTAGACAGAGTGGGTATGTCTGGACCCAAGTGTGGAATGATGTGTCACTGCTAGATCAACTTCAAAAGCAATTGAACAAGGGCTTCATATAGACAACATTACCGAAAACCCGTTCCGATAGCTTTCTTATGCAAGAGAAAACCACAGTCACATTTGTATTTTAGGCAGCGAACCAACAAGAATGAAGCAAAACAACAGCAACTGTCCTCAAGAGATATTTTGGGCTGCTCCTCTCCTCCCACTCCCCTTACACTCCTTTTCAATCTCCTACCAGTTTGTGCATTTTTGGCAACAGAGAACCATACCGCGAAGGTCACTGGCAGGCTGGTGGAGACTGCTGCGGCATTTGGCTACCAAAGACAATTTCCCCAGCCTGGGGAAGCATTGACATCTTTGCTCCCCATTTTGAGCTGGGGCAGGAGTGACTGGGTGAAGAAGCATGAGAACTTTCCTCAGTCTAGCAACCTTTGACAATCGTTGCTGCTTTTCCTCTTCACCTCAGGATCTGCTATCCAACAAGTGCAAATTGAGGATGACAAATAAGAACATCAGTCTGGTGTTTCTGCTAAAATGATCCGCCTTGAAGTAGCTGATGTTGACACTTAAATTGTCAGCAGACTTCCAGTTTAGTGCTTGAGTTAGAAGAATGGGACCGTTCACACTCCCCTCTGAGCTTTTGTTTCAACTCTCTCTAGATGGGGCAAATATCATTGCAGCAGTTTACACTCCAGTTCCACTTTAAAGGGTTTTTTTGCAACCATAACCCGGATTGTCTCAAATTTTTTTTCTTCAATGTAAACTTGGACTGCAGAGAATAATTACACAACACTATAAAAATAGTCTGCAGCAATTTACATAGCCGTGAAATATTGGAGCTGTTTTTTTCCAGTGTACCTATGTATACATGGCTGCAGCTAATTCCAGTATTTACAGGGGACTCACCAGAGCTGTGATCACAGAAACTGGTATTTCAAGTTAGGCCACACACGTGAACAAAACATTTATTGTTAAAAGGCAAGGTTTTGTGTTTTGGGGTGTTATATCATCACCTAACTGAAGCACTATTTTGTCATTTCTGCCTTTTCTATATCACCTCCTATCTGGATTCAAATAACATCCTTGTGGCTCAGACATTATTTAGTCAAGTCAGAGAGTGTTATTTTAACTTCAGTTTCTTTCCTGTAATTGTGTGTCCCTTCCATTTTTTGAACAAATTAATCATACTGAGGGGCTGCATCCTCATTTCTCTCTCTGCAGCCAGCTTTGCTGCATTTCTATTAGGGATCATATCTCCTTGCCTGCTGGAAGCCCAGTCCCTAGACTGATATCCTGCATGCTGAGGTGTTCTCTCTTCTCTTGGTCCATATGGTAGGACCACCAGTCCCGCTGGAACTAAGCAATCAATGGAAGTTCTTAAGAGTAGGAGAAAACTCTGTTGCAGCAGAGGGCAGAATAACTTTCTGCTGACCCTTGTCTGCCACAGTAATTGTCATGACTTTGGACATTTTCAAGCCCAGCTAACCAATGGGATGAACAAGTTAGTTCTTCCAAGGTACAGTATGGACTCTCTGGATTTCAAGCAGTTGTATTGTCCAGAGTCTGAAGATTCAGTGTCTTAGTATTTCTTTCTGTGCTTCTCTAGAATTTTACTTCTGTCTCCCATGTAATTCTGCCAAGCTCCTACCTTGTTAGCTCTACTCTACCTTTAATGACTTTGTTTAGCTTACGTTTTCCCCAGGAGAACTTAAACGATAAAATCAACAATATGAGAATGAACGGATAAAGCCACAGATGGGGAAAAAACCCCATTGCCTGAAATATCTGCAAATAAACTATTCAGGAAATACTTACAAGAGAACAATACAGGACATAAGTTAGAACTTATGCAACTGACTACATGCCTTTGGGAACAACAACTTCTAAGTCTTGCAATCTACCAGTGAGGAATTAATAACTGAGCATTAGATTTAGGCACTGATTTGAAGGAGTTAAATTCCCAGGCTGCCTTTTCAGAGCAGGGTGGGGCATTGGAGAAGTCAGAGAGAGAAAAAAAAGGCACCTGAATGTCCTGGGAAGGAGTAGGAAAAGCTCTTGTCAAGCTCCCCTTCCTCTCCTATGCTACAGCTATTCCCCAGCTGAGGGTCTCCTGGTGTACACCTGCAGACGCAGCCCTCGGCTGCAGCCTCGGCTGCACCGGCAATCGCAGCCTCTACACCTGTGTGCACAGTAACCCCTGCCAGCAGCCTATCCCACACCAGGAAGTGAGTGCCACGTCCAGATCCTGTTCGCCTTTCCTCACAGCCACCCATCCCCTGTCACTGGTGTGACAGTGCGTGGCATGGCCAGTGGCTGGGGCCTGAGGGTAGGGACATGGGCATCATCCCAGTTTCAGAGAGGGCATCTTGGAATGCATCCTTTGGGGGACCAGGCACCATGAGCGGGCCCCTCTCTGGCCCCTGGTACAGCACACACAAGGTAAGTGTCCACCGTGTAGCACCATAGTGGGGTCCCCTGAAGAGGGCTTGTGGAGAGTGGGACAATAATTTCAGCTTCTCCCCAGCGTCCTGTGAAAACTTGCGGAGAGCGGGACAATAATTTCAGCTTCTCCCAGGCGTCCTGTGAAAAGCACTTGTGTGCTGCTGGCTCTGCTCCCTCTTCACCCTGTGGTTCAGCCTGGCTTCCCCTTCCAAGCAGTCCTTTCTGATTAGGAACCAGGCAGAGAGCTGTGCTGTTCTGCACTAGAGCATCACTGTTTTTTGTCATTGGTGTATCTGTCACTGTCAGTGCTGACAATGCATTTAGGCAACTGCAAAAGAGAGACTGAAGCGGCCCCTGAAAACTAGCAAGCTGGAGCATCTGCTAACAATAAAAATGAATTGGAGGTTGATTAAACCCTTTACCTTTTCCCTCCTTTTTGCTTCACAAACTAGAAGGCATGGGAGGATACTCAACATTCTTGTTTTTCTCTGCATGAGAGGCAAACAACTTTCTTACAGTGCAAAGTATTGGTATAAATTGTGCATAAAATGACTTGCAATTATCTGCTCTCCTTCCTCTGTGATCAGCCCAGTTGCAGGTGATAGCCTGAGGAAGGTCCCAAAAACTTTCCCCTCTGGATACTGCATTTGCTACTGTGTGAATATCCATAGAGCAGGAGGCATTTTTCAGCCCCATCTTCTCAGAGGGAAGGAAACCTGTGAATTCCTGTGCTCAGGCACCTGGTGCAGCAGGACTCCTGGCTGATGGCTGATGGTAGTGCTTCCCGGGACCAGAGCTGGGACCTCTTATTGCGAGACAAGAATGTGGAGCCAACAGTTTTACTGTGGGTTTATGAGTTAGGGTCCCAAGGCTGTGAGCTCGCAGAGCTGCCAGAGGAAGGCAATAACAGGGAACTCCCTTGGCATGGGGACACCTGCATGTCAAGGTGGGGTTATTTGTTTGCTTGGAAAACCTCCCAGCCCTGCTCCTGTACTCCTCGGGACTATTGCACAAGGATTGCTGGATTTTAAGCATGGTAGTTTTCTGGGAAGACCTTCATAATTTTTTAGAGCTGCTTGGGTGTTTTTGGGCAAGACTGATTTTTGTTCTTTTATTTACTTGGGTTGTAGCTTTGCAGCAGGTGATGGGTAACTATGGGTCCTGTGTTGATGCCAACCTTAATTTTCCCAATACCCCCATTTTCACATTTTACACTTTTGGAAGCTTCAGAAACTATTTCCTCTTCCATTCAGTTATATTTGCTGCGATTCAATGGATCAGCCCAGTTTCAGGTCTTCACACAGGGCTCTTTCCCTTCCCCTTTTCTTGAGGCCATCTGATCCTCTTAGTTTGGTTTGAAGAGGAGCTCTTTGTTTTCTGCCTCTATAAGAGACCATAACTGCACTGGCTCTCATCTGCCTGGAAACATTCCAGGAAAGCTGAGGTGAGTTGCTATTGTGGGAGTATTTTTTAGCCCCTTCAACCCCATGAACAATCAAGAAGTGAAAGAGCGAGATCCCTTTTCAAGAGCTCCTAGACTTGAGGGGCTTGGTATGGCTATCAGTCACAGTTGCCTACTGCCATGTGATTATCAGAGACATCCACACAGGATCAGCACATGTGATACATTAATTAGGAAAATCCATAGCACTAGAGTGCCCTTAACTGATGTCTGTAAACAAGCAGCTCCCTGGAAAAAGTTAAAATGCCTACATGTGGCTACGTAGTATAATGCCCCTTTGTGCTGGCATTACATTTCTTTGTTGTTTTTTTAATGGGGGTTATTCTCCTGCCAGGTCCCTGATCAGGCTAATTGGTGCTAACTGTTGACATAAAGGTAGAAGTGGGAACACATGGTCGTGGGGAAAAAAGGGTGGAGGAAGGATTTCTCCTCAGTATCAGCGTGGATATAGTTCTGCTGATGGTGCTTGAGGAACCACATCTCTGAAATCAGCAGTGCAGGAGCCTGTGCTCCCACAGCTCACACTCTCTCTGTGTGTGTATTGTATGTTATGGGACATGAATGTGTTTAATGGTGCAGTAAAATCTGATGAAATATATACTTTGTTACCTGAAGTATTTCCTGGTAAACTAATATTATTGTAATATTTTTTGTGTCTGCTGAAGTAATGAATGTAAGAGGCCACAACATGTGGACTTTGTCTGCTTAATAGAAACTGTATGTAATTGCCTCAGTGTAATATTTTATTATTTCCCTCAAGACTTCTCAAAGGTTTTTTATTTATTTCCAATATTGTTGTTTATGGACAAAAACAATTTGCAAGATTAATTGAGATTATTACCTACCCTATTGATCTTGGTTTGCCTTTGTATCAGAGAAGGAGAAAATAGCTGGGCGAGAATAGTCATTGAGAGCTCAGATGTAAAAGAATCACAGAATGTTTTGGGTTGGAAGGGACCTTATAGGCCATCTAGTTCCAACCCCCTTACCATGGGCAGGGACAATTTCCACTAGAGCGGGTTGCTCAGAGCCCCATAATACCTCTTCTGTAACTCAGCACTTCATATGTGTGTTGTGTGTAGACACTGTGTGTAGTTGTTTGAGAGCAGAAGCTGAGCCGGAGATAGAAAGATATTTCACTTCTGCTTCTTTCTCCTCCTTAGCCTGGGTCTTAATAAACTCGGAATTATTACTGGCTGCCCAGACAGTCACCTCGAAAATTGTTTTATTTTGTGGGTTGTATTAATAAATCATTTCCAATCTGTATTTAGAGGTTGAAAATGTTGACAGTACCTTCAGACGGATTTGTGGCCTCTTGTCCCATGATAATATATCACAGCCTGTCATGGGCCATACGTGCAGGTGGTGAGTGTGTGCTGCCAGGAAACCTGATCCTTTGTGTGGTCTCACCAGTGGGCAGTGGTAGCTGCTAGCAGGTGTGATGAGAAATCCCACAGATTAAGCACATCCTTGCAGAGGTATTTCTATGCTGCCTTCTGTCATATACATGAAATGTAGATTTTGCATGAAGTGCCACAATTAAGATTTTTAGCACATTCTGTTCAAGAAGAAAGTCTACAGTGCTTCCACTCAGCCCTCTTTACTAGGGGCTTGATGTCTAGTGCCCCTGAGCCTCAGCATGGTAAGAACGTGATTTGATCCTGTTTTCTTTCAGTGGCAGCACAGTCACTGCTGGTACTTTTGATGCCATGGGAGTTCCTTCACCTGTGCTATGAGGCACCCAACGCAGGAGGGCAAGGGGGCCTGTCTCCATGAAGAGGAAGATTATCTCTCCTTTTGCCTTGGCTGAAGGAGCACCCCAGAAACAGTGAAGTTCTCTTTAGCTGGCACTGCCACCAGAGAAAAGTATTATCATGGCACATCCCTACAAATGTTCATCAGAATATTTTAAACACTTTAACAATGACATTTCCAAACATGGTTTTCAATTAGGAGAAGCTCTAGAGCAAGCCAAGGTGTCCATGGGAAGTGTGGGTGGGAGTCAAAAGGGCAGCATGGCCACAGCACATGTGGGTTTCAGTCAGGACATCTATCCTGTGCAAGAAGGAAGAGAAAGGCTATTAAAGGTGAAGGCAAACCATCCTGGTTTCTTTTCCACTTCAAGTGTTTTGTAGGGGTTTTTAATGCTATTTTCTCAGTCTCTGTAGTGTACCTCATACTCCAGTCTGCTCTCTGATGCACTGCAGATGTTAGCTGTTTCAGATTAATCATTAAACCAGTCCCCAAGTATGGGGAATGTGGAGACAAACATGTTCTCTCTCAGCTTTTTGCTGCTGTACTCCTCTGTGAAGACTGTGGTGAAAAGTTTTTCCTATTCAACATCACCCCCCAGTTCCTTATTCTAAACCTGTTCACTGAAAGCAAACAAGGGTATCAAAACAATGACTCCATTTAATCGTGTTGTCCTTTACCTATCAGATTTCAGAGTTCATGCAGTTTCAGTATCCTTTATCTTATTGCGGAACGTGTATGGGAGAAGATGCATACTGTTTCCTACGTATTAGGGAAGTGTATGTTATTTTCAGTCCTTATAAATCAAACTTAAGAAGACGACTTTTTTCGTCCTTTCAGAAACAACTTTTTTGAATCTCTCATAGGGGAATTCAAAACTCAAAGCTTATATAATGAAGCACAGAATCACAGAATGGGTAAGGTTGGAAGGGACCACTGGAGGTCATGTCATTCAACTTCCCCGCTCAACTCCCCTAGAGCACATTACTCGGGATTGTGTCCAGATGACTTTTGAATATCTCTAGAGATGGTGAGTCCACAACTTCTCTGGGCAGCTGTTCCAGTGTTCTGTCACCCTCTCAGTAAAGAAGTTTTTCCTCATGTTCAGATAGAATCTCCTGTGCTCCAGTTTCTGCCCACTGCAGCACAAGGCATGAAAAAGCATTGCATGGTCTTCCGGTGTTGTTCTGCTGTTGAGAATCCAGTGGCTTTCCATGGTTAGTCCCCATTTAATTAGTTTCTGCCAGAAAAGAATTTGTGGCTTTGGGTCATAAATGCAGGACTGTCAACTAGGCCAGCTTGCACCCAAGCTTTCAGGCTCTGCCAGAGCTGTAGGTCTGATGTGCTGGGAGTTGTGTTCTGATTAGCTGCAGTGTGACCAAGAAGCTGGATGAGAAAGCAAAATAGAACACTTGTTAGAAAGGATCACCCACATCTATTTTTACAACCTCATACTTCCATTCTGCCTTGCTGAACATCGACTGCCCCTGCAGATGTAATGGTCACGTCTGGTCTGAAATGAGCATATAGCTTAGATAAACTGCAGCCTCCCAGTTAAAGGAAGGTTAGCTGCTGCATCGTAACTTACTCATTACTCAGAGTTAGGGGATATAAGCATAGGAGAGTGTTACCCCTTGCCTGTCCCCTTGCATGGTACTACAAGCATGTCTATATCATCATGGCTCTCAAATTCCTTAGGGGAATGTATGAGTTTTTCCATCAACCACTGCAAGCAGAGTGGGAGTAAACCATGGTTTGTTTATACCTCTGAATATAGAGGAGG